ACTGACTTACTATACAGAATACTGAGTACTGACTTACTATACAGAATACTGAGTACTGACTTACTATACAGAATACTGAGTACTGACTTACTATACAGATTACCAAGTACTGACTCACTATACACAGGCTAAAATTGTATTTACAGGCGAGATATCCAGATGGGTTCATCAGGTCACAACTCAATAGAAGATGCTACAGCCACAATGGAACTTGTCAAGGTCAAACTGGCCAATGGTATGACATGGATGCACTTTTTGTTTGTATTTTAAATGTTGATTTATTTTTTGTTGGCACTCATAAGCAATGTTGTCATGATGCAATACTCATTGGATGTCTTTTCATGAACTCGCTGGTTTAGCTAGGTAACTTCATGTACCTATCAAGACCACAACCAGTTTTTAGCCCAACATCATCTGTTAAAATTGTCATTTGTCTGAAATTCATCTGTTGTCTTTCTTTAAATAATTCTGAATATCCCTTGTTCTCAAGTATCATCATGCTGAAGCCTATAAATGTAGGATATGTTTTTAACCTGTTCTTTCAGATATTGCCTTTGGTGATTGTGTACTTGGTGGAGCAATGTTTCCCCCCGAAGATCAAGGGGATGCAGGCATCAAAGTTGACCAGGAAAGTCAAGGGGATACTGGTATCAAAGTTGACCAAGAAAGTCAAGGGGATGCAGGCATCAAAGTTGACCAGGAAAGTGGATCAGACTCCAAATCTGATCAGCAGAGAATTGTGGCATCTACATCTATGCAGGGAACGAGGGACCAACACACCTTGGTGGACGTGGAGTCCCAGTCAAAGTCAGAGACTCTGTCACATCGGCAAATCATAGACAGGAGAAGGTCTTTCTTCCACAACATCTCAAATAGATGTTACAGGAGCCTGTTCAGTATTGTCAAAGAGCTTAACAAAACAGGTAGGCTGTACTAATAAGAGCAATGATTTCTTAACAATTTTTTACCTTATGTCCTTGCCTTACCTTTATCTCTTAAACTCAAAAAAGCTCACATCACTCAAACACCATATGATGTGTTATATATTCACTGTTGCAGAAATGATATACAATCTTCATCCTACTTTTCTGAGACACAATTGTCCAATTTAAGGGATGATTTTGACTGAACATATTATGGAATGGGGAGCATCTGTCTGTCTGTCAACACTTTGTTTTCTGCAAGATAACTTGCTTAAATATTACTTTGTTTGATTAGGATGAACCTTGGTAAGCATTTACAAATATACTGAGACTGAAAATACACTTCAAACTTGTTGGAAGGATTTGTAAGAAACTTCATACAACTATGAACCATCTGTACAAAGTGTGTGATAGGATATGTTGGGGAGCCGAACTTCAATCTCAAAGTTACAAATTATTTCTGGATAACACATATTGTCCTGAGCTTATTTTGTTTAAGTCAAGATATTACTGGAACACAGAAACTTCATTGAGAACTGTATTATATGTTATTCCTTGTTACTGATTTCATTATTACATTCTTTAAAATAAACAAGGCATCACGAACAATCAAAATCCACTCACATGTTCATCAGTCTGTTGCAGAGCATAATTATTCTATAAACATAACTAGCAACTTAACTCTTTGATAATAAATTTCGTAGTAAGTCACTAGAGCAGCAGCAAAAATCTGTAAATAGTAGACAGTGACCTTGACCTTGGCTGTAAAATGATAAAATCCTAAAGCAAAAATTGTATGATGTATATTCATGATTGACTATTATCTAATGTATGAAGTTTGGTTAAATCTATTCAGAAATAAAGACATTAGAGCAATGACGAAAGATATTTATAAATAATAAGTGACCTTTAACATTGGTTGTAAAATTCTCAGCATGAACTCTTTTGTGGTATTTTGTTTCTTGATTTGTATGAAATAAGAACTAGCTGGCCTCATGGATGTGTAGAGTAGCATTTTGACTTAACTTTACAACACTGTGTTTAACAAGCTGCCCTCGTGGATGTGTAGAGTAGCATTTTGACTTAACTTTACAACACTGTGTTTAACTAGCTGCCCTCGTGAATGTGTAGAGTAGCATTTTGACTGTTAACTTTACAACACTGTGTTTAACTAGCTGCCCTCGTGGATGTGTAGAGTAGCATTTTGACTGTTAACTTTACAACACTGTGTTTAACTAGCTGCCCTCGTGGATGTGTAGAGTAGCATTTTGACTTAACTTTACAACACTGTGTTTAATTAGCTGCCCTCGTGGATGTGTAGAGTAGCATTTTGACTTAACTTTAAAACACTGGGTTTAACAAGCTGCCCTCGTGGTTGCGTTGAGTAGCATTTTGACTTAACTTTACAACACTGTTTAACAAGCTGTCCTCGTGGATGTGTAGAGTAGCATTTTGACTTAACTTTACAACACTGTTTAACAAGCTGCTCTCATGGATGTGTAGAGTAGCATTTTGACTTAACTTTAAAACACTGTGTTTAACAAGCTGCCCTCGTGGATGTGTAGAGTAGCATTTTGACTGTTAACTTAACAACACTGTGTTTAACTAGCTGCCCTCGTGGATGTGTAGAGTAGCATTTTGACTGTTAACTTAACAACACTGTGTTTAACTAGCTGCCCTCGTGGATGTGTAGAGTAGCATTTTGACTGTTAACTTAACAACACTGTGTTTAACTAGCTGCCCTCGTGGATGTGTAGAGTAGCATTTTGACTGTTAACTTAACAACACTGTGTTTAACTAGCTGCCCTCGTGGATGTGTAGAGTAGCATTTTGACTGTTAACTTAACAACACTGTGTTTAACTAGCTGCCCTCGTGGATGTGTAGAGTAGCATTTTGACTGTTAACTTAACAACACTGTGTTTAACTAGCTGCCCTCGTGGATGTGTAGAGTAGCATTTTGACTGTTAACTTAACAACACTGTGTTTAACTAGCTGCCCTCGTGGATGTGTAGAGTAGCATTTTGACTGTTAACTTAACAACACTGTGTTTAACTAGCTGCCCTCGTGGATGTGTAGAGTAGCATTTTGACTGTTAACTTAACAACACTGTGTTTAACTAGCTGCCCTCGTGGATGTGTAGAGTAGCATTTTGACTGTTAACTTAACAACACTGTGTTTAACTAGCTGCCCTCGTGGATGTGTAGAGTAGCATTTTGACTGTTAACTTAACAACACTGTGTTTAACTAGCTGCCCTCGTGGATGTGTAGAGTAGCATTTTGACTGTTAACTTAACAACACTGTGTTTAACTAGCTGCCCTCGTGGATGTGTAGAGTAGCATTTTGACTGTTAACTTAACAACACTGTGTTTAACTAGCTGCCCTCGTGGATGTGTAGAGTAGCATTTTGACTGTTAACTTAACAACACTGTGTTTAACTAGCTGCCCTCGTGGATGTGTAGAGTAGCATTTTGACTGTTAACTTAACAACACTGTGTTTAACTAGCTGCCCTCGTGGATGTGTAGAGTAGCATTTTGACTGTTAACTTAACAACACTGTGTTTAACTAGCTGCCCTCGTGGATGTGTAGAGTAGCATTTTGACTGTTAACTTAACAACACTGTGTTTAACTAGCTGCCCTCGTGGATGTGTAGAGTAGCATTTTGACTGTTAACTTAACAACACTGTGTTTAACTAGCTGCCCTCGTGGATGTGTAGAGTAGCATTTTGACTGTTAACTTTACAACACTGTTTTAATAGCTGCCCTCGTGGATGTGTAGAGTAGCATTTTGACTGTTAACTTAACAACACTGTGTTTAACTAGCTGCCCTCGTGGATGTGTAGAGTAGCATTTTGACTGTTAACTTAACAACACTGTGTTTAACTAGCTGCCCTCGTGGATGTGTAGAGTAGCATTTTGACTGTTAACTTAACAACACTGTGTTTAACTAGCTGCCCTCGTGGATGTGTAGAGTAGCATTTTGACTGTTAACTTAACAACACTGTGTTTAACTAGCTGCCCTCGTGGATGTGTAGAGTAGCATTTTGACTGTTAACTTAACAACACTGTGTTTAACTAGCTGCCCTCGTGGATGTGTAGAGTAGCATTTTGACTGTTAACTTAACAACACTGTGTTTAACTAGCTGCCCTCGTGGATGTGTAGAGTAGCATTTTGACTGTTAACTTAACAACACTGTGTTTAACTAGCTGCCCTCGTGGATGTGTAGAGTAGCATTTTGACTGTTAACTTAACAACACTGTGTTTAACTAGCTGCCCTCGTGGATGTGTAGAGTAGCATTTTGACTGTTAACTTAACAACACTGTGTTTAACTAGCTGCCCTCGTGGATGTGTAGAGTAGCATTTTGACTGTTAACTTAACAACACTGTGTTTAACTAGCTGCCCTCGTGGATGTGTAGAGTAGCATTTTGACTGTTAACTTAACAACACTGTGTTTAACTAGCTGCCCTCGTGGATGTGTAGAGTAGCATTTTGACTGTTAACTTAACAACACTGTGTTTAACTAGCTGCCCTCGTGGATGTGTAGAGTAGCATTTTGACTGTTAACTTAACAACACTGTGTTTAACTAGCTGCCCTCGTGGATGTGTAGAGTAGCATTTTGACTGTTAACTTAACAACACTGTGTTTAACTAGCTGCCCTCGTGGATGTGTAGAGTAGCATTTTGACTGTTAACTTAACAACACTGTGTTTAAATAGCTGCCCTCGTGGATGTGTAGAGTAGCATTTTGACTGTTAACTTAACAACACTGTGTTTAACTAGCTGCCCTCGTGGATGTGTAGAGTAGCATTTTGACTGTTAACTTAACAACACTGTGTTTAACTAGCTGGCCTTGTGGATGTGTAGAGTAGCATTTTGACTGTTAACTTTACAACACTGTGTTTAACTAGCTGCCCTCGTGGATGAGATGTCTGTTGTACAACAGCATGCTGATCAAGATGTGGTTGCTATGGAATCTGACTGTGACCGAACTAGTAAATCACTGTCCAAGTCGTATGTAGAGTACCATGACTTTGTCTACACATGCTTTCCTTCTTACAAAAAAGAACTTGAAGAAACACAGACAGAGGAGGATAAAAAGGTAAAACCCAGCTATGTTAATTATCTCCACACATTTCTGTCTTCTGTTTTATTGTTGCTGCTGTGCTTTTTAGTCAATTCAAATTGCCCTGCATCCGTGGGCTGTAGTCCGTCTGTCCTTCCTTAAAAAATTCTTGTTATCGCTATTTCTCTGAAAGTGCCTGATGGATCCTCTCAAATTTCATATGTAAGTTCCACTTGGTCCCTTGTTTAAGTATTTTGACAGTGAATGCTTGTTATCACTATTTCTAAGAAAGTACTGGAGGGATCCCTCTCAAATTTCATATGTAAGTTTCCCCCTGGTCCGTAGTTGTGCATGTTTACTTTTGAGAGTGATCGGATAAACAAAATGGCCGAAAGGCGGCCATCTCAGATTTTGACAGTGAATGTTTGTTAGTGCTATTTCTTGGAAAGAACTGGAAGGATCCTTAAATTTCATATGCGAGTTCCCCTTGGTCCTTAGTTGTGCCTGTCAACTTTTGAAGCTGATCAGATAAACAAAATAGCCAACAGGAGGACATCTTGGATTTTGAAAATTTTGTTATCGTTGTTTCTCAAAAAGCAATTGACAGGTATTTCTCAAATTTCATATATCTATAATTGTGCATGTATTAATTTGCAACTGGTAGAGAGAAAAAAAGATGGCCACAGACGGTCATTGCAGATTTTGACATTTTATGGATATCATCACCATTTCTCAGGAAGTACTTTACAGATCTTTCTCATATCGTAATGATCAGTTCTATTTCTTTCACATCACACACTGTACTAGTAATGTATGTGAAATGACAAACTCACTTTGAATGTTGTCTTTTATACACAGCAGTATGAAGTTAAGATAAAAAATAAGGTGCATTTACTGTTTACATATCTTGATCAAACAGATAAGAGAAAAGAAGAGAAAAGATCAAACTGACATAGAACTAATGAAGATGGTACGATGGTGGGTGCCAAGATCCCTCTTGGATCTCTTGTTCAGAAATAAATTGTGTTCAGCAGTTTTCATGAAGAGAATTAGAGCAAGATTAACATGTACTACAAAGAGGTGAATGGAGATGTAAACAAGATTAACATGTACTACAAAGAGGTGAATGGAGATGTAAAACAAGATTACCATAAGGTTACCATAAGGAGGTGTAGAATATGGTGTGCAGGTAGAACAAGGTTAACATAAGGAGGTGTAGAATATGGTGTACAGGTAGAACAAGATTACCATAAGGAGGTGTAGAATATGGTGTACAGGTAGAACAAGATTTACTCATAGTTTCATAGGACAAGATTAAGATACAAAACAAGGTATATATAGAGAGCTGTTATACAACAAGCTAACAACTTATGGTTATGACAGGTTATGACTGATGGCTATGATTACATTTATTTTACAATATAAAATTGCATTTGTGATGTTGATCGTCTTTTCATTCTGTAAATCACTTTACCTTAATACCTAAGTATATATTTGGTGGGATATACATGTATATAGTTCTGCTTTAATTTCTTAGAAGATAACATCCTGACAGTCATCAAGTGATTCTTCAACATTTGTTTTTTGCAGAAACTCCTTGGACGAATGGATAAACGTCTGGGGAAGGTGCTGAAGCATACCAGGGCCAATAGCCTGATAACAGTGGTTTTATCTGGACAATCTACAGCACAAAATTGTCAAAGTGCAAAGACTTTCATCAAAATTGTCTAAATGGCAGAATTTTTGTATCATCATTTTATCAACATTAAACATAGTACTAATAAATATTGTTGTTTGATGATACTATCAGAATATATCAAGCTACTATATAAAGAGCCGGACAGGAGTCAGGAGTACTTCATTTGCATGGCAAAAGCATGTCCTAAATCACAATTTACATAAATCAATGCTACTTAATGCAGTTGTTTTCAAACATAGTAAAACACCAGGAGAAATAATAAGTGATATGTTTGCGAGATTTTCCTTTTTCATGGGAAGTACAAAATATGATTATGAGCAAAAAATTCAACAACTTCATCAAAACCAAAAGGCCAAGGGGGATGATATTTGCCCAGTAGCATGCTAGGGTGAAAAGGCTCTCAAGATTGTTCAGATGAATGGCCTTCATTCATATTCAAGGTCACAGTGGTCAAATTTATTGAAAACACTTGAATGACTTCTGAACAAGCATACTGAGTATTGCTTTAGCAATACATGTCCCCTACCAGCCCCCGCTAGCTATTACACTGAAATTATTTATAAAAATGGTGCCCTTTGGTGTTAATTTGGGAAAATTAATAGTATACAATTAGCTGATTTTAATGTAACTTTTCTATTCTACATTACCATCAATCATATTGTACAAAAAAACCCCAGAATAAATGAATTTCCATGTATACTGTATATTACATACACATTTGACACTGTAATGAACCGATTATATCGATTATGGAATTTGTTATCGATAATCGGAATCAAACTGGACAAATCGATCAATGTTCGATTATTATAATATATCGATCATCAGTCCATGACTGGTTTCAACTTGTCCAGGATTTTGTATTAATAGTAACAGTGGCCTTGATCTCAACTCTACAACCCTGAAACTCAAACTTGTCCCGAGATATTAATATGATCCTTTGTAATTGTGTGAAGTTTGATCCAAATCCCTCAAGGAATGAAGACATTAGAGCGCTGACAAGGATTTAAAAAAAATAGAAACAGATACCTTGACCTTGAACCAACAATCCTGAATCTCAAACTTGTCCGAGATATTATAGTCCTTTGTAACTGTGAAGTTTGATCCAAATCCCTCAAGGAATGAAGCCACTAGAGCGCTGACAAGGATTTTCTAAAAATAGTAACGGTGACCTTGACCTGACAACCCTGAAACTAGAAATTGTCCGAGATAATATGGGCTTTTGTAATTGTATGAAGTTTGATCAAAATCCCTCAAGGAATGAAGCGGCTCGAGCGCTGACAAGGATTTTCTAAAAATAGTAATGGTGACCTTGACCTAACAACCCTTTAATTTGAACTTGTCCAAGATATTATGGTCCTTTGTATTTGTGTGAAGTTTGATAAAAATCCCTTAAGGAATCAAGCCGCTAGAGTGCTGACAAACATTGGTGTTACGTACGTACGTACACAGACGGACGGAGAGGGAAAACTATAGTTCACCGGTAGGGGACTAATAACCAAAAGGCCTCAGGTGATTATATTTGGTCATAACTATGCATGGATAAAGGGCAATCATTTGATCAAATGAATGACCTTTACCCATGTTCCAAGGTCACAGGGCTTAAATGGGTTAAAAAACCTTTAAACCACTTCTTCTGAATAACCAAAAAGCCTAAGGTGATGATAATTTGCAGTAATATGCTGGAATGTAGGGCTATCAAGTTTGATGAAATGAATAACCATGACCAACCTTCAATGTCACAGGTCAAATGGATGAAAACCTTTTAATGGCTATTTCGGAATATCTAAGATATCAAGGGTGATGCTATTTAGCCAGTAACATACTGGGATGAAAGGTAATAATTGGGTGGGGTTTTTATTCTTCAAATAAAAGATCTTGACCCAATTCCTTAGAGATAAGATCAAGATGTTAAACATCTTTTGAACAGCCAAGAAGCCCAAGGTGATTATATAAATATTTTTTGCTAGTTGAGTGCTATGATAAAGGGCTTTGTAGTTTGTTCAAAGGAATGACCTTGACCAAATTTCAAGGTCACATGAGTTAATTTGTTAAAACATTTAATTGACTTCTAATTAATGAAATAGATGGGTTGAAGTTCATGATATTTTGCGATGTAGGTTAAAATGTAAATTGATATGATGTGTTGGAAGAAAGTATATGGCTTTACCAAACAACTTAGTTCATATCAACAAAGTTTGTTAAAATCTTCATATAAAGATTCATAAAAATACTTAAGTGTAGAGTGATAAGATTTTCCAAGAAAGGGTGTTGTTTCACTGGAGGCTGAGAATCAAGGACCCTTACAGGGAAATCTAAGAAAGGGTGTTGTTTCACTGGAGGCTGAGAATCAAGTACTCTTACAGGGTAATCCAAGAAAGGGTTTTGTTTTCACTGGAGGCTGAGAATCAAGGACTCTTACAGGGTAATCCAAGAAAGGGTGTTCTTTCACTGTAGGCTGAGAATCAAGGACCCTTACAGGGTAATCAAAGAAAGGGTGTTGTTTCACTGTAGGCTGAGAATCAAGGACTCTTACAGGGTAATCCAAGAAAGGGTGTTGTTTTCCTGGAGGTGGTGAATCAAGGACTCTTACAGGGTAATCCAAGAAAGGGTGTTGTTTCACTGTAGGCTGAGAATCAAGGACCCTTACAGGGTAATCAAAGAAAGGGTGTTGTTTCACTGTAGGCTGAGAATCAAGGACTCTTACAGGGTAAACCAAGAAAGGGTGTTGTTTTCACTGGAGGCTGAGAATCAAGGACCCTTACAGGGTAATCCAAGAAAGGGTGTTGTTTTCACTGGAGGCTGAGAATCAAGGACCCTTACAGGGTAATCATAGAAAGGGTGTTGTTTCACTGGAGGCTGAGAATCAAGGACCCTTACAGGGTAATCATAGAAAGGGTGTTGTTTCACTGGAGGCTGAGAATCAAGGACCCTTACAGGGTAATCCAAGAAAGGGGTTGTTTTACTGTAGGCTGAGAATCAAGGACCCTTGCAGGGTAATCATAGAAAGGGTGTTGTTTCACTGGAGGCTGAGAATAAAGGACTCTTACAGGGTAATCCAAGAAAGGGTGTTTTTTCACTGTCGGCTGAGAATTAAGGACCCTTACAGGGTCATCCAAGAAAGGGTGTTGTTTTACTGTAGGCCGAGAATCAAGGACCCTTACAGGGTAATCCAAGAAAGGGTGTTGTTTTACTGGAGGTGGTGAATCAAGGACTCTTACAGGGTAATCTAAGAAAGGGTGTTGTTTTACTAGAGGCTGAGAATCAAGGACTCTTACAGGGTAATCCAAGAAAGGGTGTTGTTTCACTGTCGGCTGAGAATTAAGGACCCTTACAGGGTCATCCAAGAAAGGGTGTTGTTTTACTGTAGGCCGAGAATCAAGGACCCTTACAGGGTAATCCAAGAAAGGGGTTGTTTTACTGTAGGCTGAGAATCAAGGACCCTTACAGGGTTATCATAGAAAGGGTGTTGTTTCACTGGAGGCTGAGAATAAAGGACTCTTACAGGGTAATCCAAGAAAGGGTGTTTTTTCACTGTCGGCTGAGAATTAAGGACCCTTACAGGGTCATCCAAGAAAGGGTGTTGTTTTACTGTAGGCCGAGAATCAAGGACCCTTACAGGGTAATCCAAGAAAGGGGTTGTTTTACTGTAGGCTGAGAATCAAGGACCCTTACAGGGTTATCATAGAAAGGGTGTTGTTTCACTGGAGGCTGAGAATAAAGGACTCTTACAGGGTAATCCAAGAAAGGGTGTTTTTTCACTGTCGGCTGAGAATTAAGGACCCTTACAGGGTCATCCAAGAAAGGGTGTTGTTTTACTGTAGGCCGAGAATCAAGGACCCTTACAGGGTAATCCAAGAAAGGGGTTGTTTTACTGTAGGCTGAGAATCAAGGACCCTTACAGGGTAATCCAAGAAAGGGGTTGTTTTACTGTAGGCTGAGAATCAAGGACCCTTACAGGGTTATCATAGAAAGGGTGTTGTTTCACTGGAGGCTGAGAATCAAGGACTCTTACAGGGTAATCCAAGAAAGGGTGTTGTTTCACTGTCGGCTGAGAATTAAGGACCCTTACAGGGTCATCCAAGAAAGGGTGTTGTTTTACTGTAGGCCGAGAATCAAGGACCCTTACAGGGTAATCCAAGAAAGGGTGTTGTTTCACTGTAGGCTGAGAATCAAGGACCCTTACAGGGTAATTTGGTTATTTAAATTTACTCCTGAATAGTTTATCACATGTAAATTAAATTTGCTATAAGGGGCTGAGCTCAAAATGGGGGAATTATTTGCATTCTTACCTTTAATAATTATATTTAAAAATAGCAAAATGTTCACAGACTGCACATGATGTACAGATACAGATGGCATTAAGTCACTTGAGCAGACAGATGGCAATAAGTCACCTGAGCAGACAGATGGCATTAAGTCACCTGAGCAGACAGATGGCATTAAGTCACCTGAGCAAAGTGTTTAGTAAAAACATACTCATCAACAACAATAAAACAGTACTTTTGTCATTTGTTTTATTTTAGATAATTTCATGCAAAGATTTGTTTTAACAGATCTCAATTACAAACCAGATACATATAAAATTTGATTGCACTACTTGTAGCTATAACATTTGCATAGCACACTTAAATAATAAACAACAATTCAAAACCTGACTAACAAAAACAAGGCTATAATAAAGTGGTGATGAGGAAGTAATAATGTGGAACCTAGACTTAGATATAACTGTACCATACTGTTTGAGAGTAAAACCTGTCTAAAATAATTATAACAAGAGGCCCAGAGGGCCTGTATCGCTCACCTGGATATCTAAGCAATCATGGCAAAATATTCTCCAAATGAGATCCAAGGGAATATGCCATACCCCAAGGCTAATCCAGGATCAATTCTAATATCATGACTACATTCGTCTCTTTTTGCCCAGCATTTGTATTTATAGTTTTGGGGTGGGGATCTCAACCGTTTCTAAGTTATGAGGAAGGGGTTAAGTCTGCAAAGGTGGGGCAGACCCTGGAATCAATTCTAATATCATGACTGCATTCGTCTCTTTATGCCCAGCATTTGTATATATAGTTTTGGGGAGGGGATCTCAACAGTTTCA